CCCAAAATGGGCTCATTGATTGTTTTTCGGGGTTTTAAAATTATAGGGGTTTTCCCAGGCTGTTTGTAGAAGGTAGATGATGATCTGCAGGACCGTATGCCTCAATGAAACGGGCGGGCAGTAATGGCCAGCCACCAGGGACCTTTTGCATGGTATGCACAAAGGGAATTGTGGATGATTTGGAGGCAGTTGACTTTGCAGATACCTTGCCAAAAACTTCATGATCTATCAACCACTCATGATAGATTGGCACGCGTGTTTCCTAAAACTGTGGTGCAAGCATACCATAAATGGGAGTACCCCAAAATGGATTGTTTATAACGGAACAATCCTATTAAAATGGATGATTTGGGGGTACCCCCATTTCACGAAACTTTCACATGTACATCATGTACACCAGTTCTTGTGTAGTTAAGGGTCAGTGTAGTTCCAACTTTACCACATTGCAAGTTGACTCACCGCGCAATCGCCGCCAGTGCTTTCTCGAGAGCCCGCACGTGAAGAAAGCAGGGAACTCAAATGACCGACAGACGGGAACTCAAATGACCGACAGACGGGGCTGTCGCTGGGTCAGATCATTGTGTGTAGCTAGCCGCAAAAGATACACAAGTAAAATCCTGCAAAACTTTTGACACGTGTGGTAAATGATTGTTTGTCGTTTTGTGGAGTTACTATGCCCCCAAATGCCCCATTTTGCAAAATTGGTGACTACTGTAAGACTATACACGTGAAGACAGGCAGCAGCATTCAACGGGAGAGGGCACATTGAAAGGACGATACAGACTAAAGAAGAGGTGTACAAGCAGTTTGAGCCCTTGAACATACCATTCTTGGTTCATTCATGCCGTGTGTACATCAAGCTACAACACGGATTATTCTTTGCTAATAAACTAAATAGGTGCCAGTAATCAACCATATATATATATATATAATCTTTATAGATATAGATTGCGTACTTATTGAGATGTTTTTGCCGACTCACATTTTGCGAAGCAGCAATTGACCACTTGGGTGTGACACTTCTCAGGGTTATCTAACCATGCTTTCTTGAGGTCAGACTGATTTGGTGTTTGTTTGGTGGGTTTGACGCATGATGTCATGATGCAGGTTTTTGATTGAGAGATCATCTGCAAATGCTGCTCCCAGCTTTGAGTAATTTGTAAAAGGTCACACAGGTACCAGCTGTGACCATGTACCCGGTCGTAACTCACTTCCTAGGAAATGGGTTTGTCTCAAAATGGTGATATCTATGCATATATATATATATTACCAGAAGCAGGGAACAATTATGAGAGCCCTTGGATGGTTAAAACAAATATGACTTCCGCCCTTTTCGTTAAGACAACCCCAGGGCAGTTCCCATCAGCAGCATGTCCGCGGCAGGCGTCCAAAACGCTGGAGAAAGGCATCGTGCGAATGCTGAGCTGAGCGGATGCCAAGTGGGAAGCTCCAAGCAGAATTTTCCATAGCGATAGTAAGCCCCAGAAAGATCCAAAAAGGTTGGGAAACTGGGGAAACCTAAACAATATATGAAGTAAAAGAAGGAAATATCAACATGATTATCAACTGTAAATCATCCATCAATGGAGCATTTTTACGTCAGCAAACAGTCACATGGCTTTGTTGAAGGTGATTTGTTTTACGTTTCCACAGGGAAAGGCACCAGGACTGCGGAATCCATAAGGGACACTTATTGTGGTTTCTTTTCTTTCGGGGAGGTTAAACATGACTTGCTAGAAAATTGCGCATTGAGCTCGATGAGTTTCCCCTTTCAATGACCATTCAGGTCGGGGATTTTTCCATTACCATGTTTGATTACAGAGGGTATTAATCAATGAACTTCCAGAGAGAATAAACTAAACACTCTGAGCAAGAAAACAGTGAAAGCACATAAACACAGCATGTATAATCATGATCAATCAATCTTAATCATGTAGAACATTTTAATCATGTATACCATCTCATACTTATCCTAGTAAATTTTAAACATGACGTCTGTCATGTCGCGGTCCTCCGGACCACTCCAGAGCTTGGCGAAGTGGTGCGAGCAGAGTACTTGGTCATGGTATGCAAATATGAGAAGAAAAAGCAGACATATGGATAATAATGATTGTTAATTATGGTTAATAGGTAAAAACATGGATAATAAATGATGATAATGATTATATATATATATAGATAACAAATATGGATAATATGGATAATAAATATTGATTAATAGTGGTTGTTTTTTTAGGTATAATGGTTAATACTGGATAATAACGAATAGTTTTGTGGATTACACATGTCAACGATGGCGAATATGGATTATTTCATGGTTAAACGTTGATAATGTTGATAGAAAATGGTTAATAATGGATGATAGTTTTGATATATAGTTAATAATCCCTTCCATCTTACCCTGTTCAGAAATTCAATACCCCCCCCCATAAATGTAGGGATTGGAAAACATTTTATTAGGACCATAGTAGCTAATGTGAAAGGGGGATTGGATTATTAGCAAAAAATCGTTGATTCCACTGCAATTGAGGGGCACTGAATCACTGCCCGTTTCTGTGAAACATGATCTGGGACGAAAAAATAACATAAACCAAAGTCAGGGTGTGTTTAATCATTTGAATCGTGTGTGCTTTCCATTAATTTTCCTTGTTATTGTTGCGCTCATGGGTGATGAGGGAGAGGATCTCCGAGGAGTAGACTTTATTACCGTCGCATCATGTGTTTCTTTCTGTCATTCTCTCCTTTGTTCTTCCTTTCTTTTTTGTTTTTGTCCTTCTTTCTTCCTTCTTCTAGTGCTTTCTTCCCTTTACTCATCTTTACTCCTTTCTTTCTTCCTGCCTTTCCTTTTTTCCTTTATGTCCTTTTTTCTTTGGAAGCCTTGGCATTCTTTGGAAGTGATGCCAACTAAGATACAACAACTGTAGCCAAGGATTGGTGCCTTGTATGATTCACCAACAAGTTTCCAGGCAGGTCCTTGACATTATTCAATACCATTACAACATTCCCACTATCCAGTATCTGGCGGGTTCTTGAGGCACCCCTCGAGAAAACGTGTGTTTATTTTTAATCTTGAATCTAGTAAAGGACTTGATCCTTTGGGACACCTGGGTATTCTGAGGGTTCTTTAGTGGTGCTAAGTAAGCTACCAAAAAACACTGTTTTATTAAATTAATAGTGATTTTTTAGATGCATCAACAAAAAAACGCAAAACCTTTCTGGAAAAAACCCTCTGAGAAACCAAACCATGTCGTGTTCACCAAAGTGAGTGATGGAAATGTCCGTACAGTACCATCCACCGGCGTCCAGCATGATAATGTACAATATATTTTTAGATATTTTTCTATGTTTATGTTCTGCTATACCAGCCATACATATTATATGATGAGCAACAGAATGTGTGTCATTTCCATGCCGTCCCGAGCACGACTTCACGGCCTCTGGCCCTGGGTTTTTAACGGTTAACCGGGGCCAACAAAGAGTCCCGACTATCCTGCTGACTGGAGATGCTTACGAAATCTGTAACGGTCTGTATTGATGTTTCAGGGCTGTGCGAGAATGTCACTGATTTTGTTGTAAACCCGATGCCACAAACAACTAGCAGCAACTAGCATTAAAAATTAAAATATTGTTTTACCATCCAGTTAAGGTATGATTGGGTGTGGTTCATTGTTGGCTTTGCCCTGGTGTAGCACATTAGTCCGATAGGGCCTCTCAGTTTTGTTTTGCCACTAGCAAAATGGTATCACTGGTGATCTAGCGGTGCCTACATTTACATTATTTTAGAGTCTTGGAGTAGAAAACCCAAGAAGGCTTGGTTTCCTGGAAAAAAAAGGTGTAAGAGTTGCACAATGCTGCAAGTTCAAGGTGTGTAGCCGCATTGCTGATGGAATTCGGAGAATTAGGCATGTTGCAGGCTATGAAGTAGGTATCTCAGGAAGCTGGTCTACATTTTCTCAATGCCATGGGATTTCTCCTTTTCTCTCGGCGCCACCTTGTCGTGTTGAAAAGCGGTCCGGGCAGGTGAGACTGTTATGTTCCCATTGGGAAATCCATTAGACATAGGGAATCCATAAATTAATTTTCCCGGATTTTCCTTAATGAATAAAAACATAGATTAATCAATGATCCATGATGATCTACAGTGATCTATGATGATCTATAATGATCTATAAATTTGCTGTTCTATTGTTTGGAGGTCCCTCAAGCATGCAAATCCAAGAAAATGGTGTGAACGCATGATGTTGCACGATATTTCCCTCTATGAAATGTTTGAAGAACGACCTTTCATTGCTTCCTGACAATGATTTTTGGACAATGCCTATGATGATATGGACGTGCTCGGAAAGCAACACTGGAGGTTCAATCAAGCAAGTAGGTTGAGAATCGAAGAAGCACATTGAGCTGTTGGCTTGCAGACATGAAGCCTGTTGAGCACATCGAAATATCCTTGACTTTCAGACAACACCAGCATGTGTAAGGCAGTTGTTTCTTTGGACCATCTGCGTACCTTGGCTCCGAAGACTTTGCGCTTCTCATCCTGCGGCTCGAAGGTAGGGTTTAGGATTAGCCAATGTCTTGATCGGATGCTATGCTATCATGACAGAGGTCGTACATTAGGAGTTCAACACAATAGGGTATTGTCATGTGGTTTCACATTTTAGGTAGATGTTTTTGCCAAGGACTTCCATATGTTTGGTCATTCATGATGTGGTACATGTTCGACCCAGACTGATTGCTGCTCTCTCAAGAAGCTTAAGGCACAGCGGCATTCTGACATGTATTTTTGCACATCAAAAATCTAACGGACCCAATGAATGGAGCAGCTATTAACGGTTTGCCGGCCCCCAGATACAAACTTGTGAACCACCAGCCTTTGTCGAGGCTTGTTTGTTTTCTATGTGTTTGGACAGTAGGTTTGGCGCTGGGCAGGGTCTTCTCAAATTCTGTAAAACCGCTAGCAAAAAGGACATAAAAGAACCACCTACAGTCCCTGCCACTGTTGGACATCTGCAGAACAATGGCAATCCATGAGGACAGACTCTGCAAGGGGCCTTGAGGTGTTTTACTCTTGCGAAACACTGGAAACTCATTGTGGCCAAAAGATATGTCTTTTCTTGTCCGAAGATGATCGTCATTCCATTTCACTAGTAGTATTTTATATTCGTCAACCGAGGTTCAATCTTACTTTGGAACATGTGGTGGTGTCACCATCATCCAGAGCATCCCGATCTTAAGTGATCTTGAGTGATCTTAAGTGATCTCATTCACGCAACGCGCAGTACACAGTCACAATTCGATGAAGCATGTGATTTTTGGTGGCATCCTGAAGCACTGTGCCAAAGTCATAACAAATCTGAATGGTTTCTCAATCAACTTCATAGTCCAAGTTGTTTCTTTCTATGCATGGTCCCAATTTATTGTTTTAACAAGCAGATGTGTAATTCGATGTAATTACACATTGTGATCTACTGTACATACATATCACAATATATCACATATATCACATAACACACTATGATGCTGACATGGGCTACTTATTTGAGTCAATCAGACCCACTGAAATCCTATTGGGTCAGGAGACGTTTTTGGACCTTCATCCTCCGTCACCGGTCATGCAGCGTAACAGCAGGATCCGTACTTTGTGACTGCAGACCCTTACGGAGGTGTGGGAGGCTTGAGATGCAGAACGCTGGGGACATCTATCTAGATAACCCCATCTGTGCCATGGTCAAAAGTTTATGTGTATATTATATATATATTATACATAATTATATAGACAGTATGTATTATAGATATCATATATGTTCATTAATTGGCCGATGGTCATCAATCCATTCATAGGGGTGATGCATTATAGTTGGATCCCCGTGGCATGGGATGGATGACCATACCCCCTATATCTGCACGTTGTGGTATGAGGACGTCGCGGTCACACCTGCAATGCGGGGGTTATAACCCCAAATAGGTAAGTCACTTAACCAGGTTCACTATGGTTTATGTCTGTGTTGGATATGCCTATCTATAGGTTTACAGGTGGGCACACATTGTAACTCTTCAGTTCAAATCTTAGAACACCACAAAACACCGTTTGCTCGGGATCCTTTGCAAGTGTGGGCATATGTGGGTATCATTTTACCCCGGCCTGCTACAACGAGGTGACCAACACACATGATGTCCACGAGATCCCGAGTCTCCAAAAATTGGCAAAACAAAGTGAAGAAAGATAACATAGATGATATAGTTGGATAATATAGTTGGATACATGGAAATCCCATGAAATCCATGAACATCCAACTATCTCATCCTGTTTGGATGGCCAAGCCCTATGTCTTCTACTGCGCGCCCACTGCAGTTAGCGCCAGGTGAAGAGTTCGAGGCTGAAGAGGCCGAAGAGACCTTGGAAACCGAGGCGCGACACTCCAATCTGAGCTTGGAAAAACATACAAAAGTCTTATATACCCGATATATCATGATGATCTTGAAATATCCTTACACTAGCTATGTATTATTATTATTATGATGTATTTCCAGTTGAAGATCTTTATAATGTGTTTATAAGTATATAAAAGTACCTGGAACTTCGAATGATCCTTGGCCCATCGCCATTGGGCCTTTTGTGCTGAGAGCAACGCTAGGGCTTTGGAGACGTGACGGAAGCGTTGCAGGGTGAGGACTTTGGAGATGTCCAGGCCTGGGAGGGTGTTGGACAAGGTCAATAGCTTGGAAGAATCTGTGCCACATAGAAATATCAAACATCACATTTCAGATTAAGAGGTTATATATTATATTTGATTATTTACATATATATATATTTACACATGTAACAGCACCATGTTACATTTTGTACCATAGCAAGTGTGGAACATATTTGCAATATGTTTGGGTTTGGACACCGCACAGGATCTCAAATAGTCCAAATGACTGGTTGCTGTCTCCAATATTTGTTTACGTTCCATGCTGGATGCTGGGATTCCTAGTAGCATAGTTGAGATGTTGAGATGGATTTGCCTGAAAATAGGCTACCCTATTCCATTCCATCATGGAAAAGAACCTCGTATTCAGTATTCATACACTTTTTGTAATCTTCTTTTAGTGGATTTGCCATAAATGATATCCCCAAAATGATCGAATAACATTTGTATATATATATATATTATACATAGAGTCTTTTCTATGGTGAGGGACATTCCTTATAGGGACACTCCTAGAACATTCCTTTTCATTCATTTTAATTCCAAATACTTCAATTTCGTTCTAGATAAGTTCATTTCACTCCAAAAACCTTTTCTTTGTATTTCTGGCCTAAGGTTAAGGAAGTCAAAAAGTGACAAGATGTTTTTTGGGAATATTTGTTGGGTTCCATCCACAACCGCCATTGACTCAATATGATTCCAATAATTGATGTTCATTATTACCCGAGTTCAACTGTTCAATGGAGTCGTGGTTACCCTTGCGGTAACCAACCTCAGAATCAATTCTGATGATATCATCATTTTAATTTGACAAAAGAAAATATAGTGACGGACACTCACTTAGAACGTCATTTGGAAAACGCTTTTTTATTTTTATGTCTATTTCTATGTTTGGAACAGCCGTGAACCCTCACAGTTAGAACTAGGAAAATCGATCATTTAGAACATCCCATGATGATCTATTGACATAACTATATTTATATGTGCACAAAAGTTATCAATTAGCTGTGAAGACCCCCGCACTTAGAACATCCCATGATGATCTATTGACATAACTATATTCTATATATTTATATACACACAAAAGTTATCAATTAGCTGTGGAGGCCCCCACACTTAGAACATTCCAAGACATTACAACACACACATATATATATACAGATAAGGTCCTCCACCCACATAGAATATGGAATTGAAATTTTGGTTTCCCCGGGCATCCCAGGAATTGAACTTGAAAAACAATACTTAGAATATTTTAGAATACAGTTGACGTCAAAAAACCTATACTTAGAATACCGTTGGACCATATAAATCCTTTCGCTTGTCCAGGCGAATTCGTCATTTTTCCATGGAAATTCTTTCACTTGTTCAGTCAAATTCAGCATTTTTCCATATAGTTTTTCATTTTTCTTTAAACATCCTTCACATGTTCCATACAAATTCTTCACTTTTCCAAATTTCTTTCATATAAATTATTTCATGTTTCCAGACAGATAGATAGGTAAAAATTTCACAAGGTGTTTGGTGCCAACATCAAAAACTGGCAGGGTCCCCAAATTGACCGATTTCTTATTACTTTGTACACTAAAAAGTACTTTTTTTCGCCGCCGCATAGAGATGTACAAAGGCTTCGAGAGCAAAGGCCACATGGGCAGAGAAAAAAACAACATGGAAATGGGGGGAATATTCTAAGTACATTTTCGGCAAATTTGCCTGTGCAATTGAAACATGCATATTCTATGTAAGCGGAGAAGCTTATATTTCTATAATGATCTATTGACGTATCTACATTTATATGAACACAAAGTTATCAATCAGCTGTGGAGACTCCCCCACTTAGAACATCCCAGGACATTACAACACACACATATATAATATATATATATATATGATGATGATCTATTGACATAACTATATTTATATGAACACAAAGTTATCAACCAGCTGTGGAGACCCCCACACTTAGAACATCCCAAGACATTACAACATATATATTTGTTTATAATGATCTATTGACATCACTTTTTTTGAACAAACAGTTATCAATTAGCTGTGGAGACCCTCACACTTAGAACATCCCAAGACATTTCACATATCTATATATATAAACTATAATCTATTTGCATAACTACATTTATACGATTACAAAGTGATCAATCAGCTGAGGAGACCTCCGCACTTAGAACATCCCAAGACACTACAACATATACATATATATATATATACATACATTTATTTATAATGATCTATTGACACAACTGCATTTATACGATAACAAAGTTATCAATCAGCTGTGGAGACCCCCACACTTAGAACATCCCAAGACATTACAACATGTAATTATGTATATATATATATATAAGGTCCTCCACCCACACAGAATATGGAATTGAAATTTTGGCTTCCCCGGGAATCCCAGGAATTGAACTTGAAAAGCGATACTTAGAATATTTTAGAATACAGTTGACGTCAAAAAACTATACTTAGAATGCCGTTGGACCATACAAATTCTTTCGCTTGTCCAGACGAATTCGTCATTTTTCCATGGAAATTCTTCACTTTTCTTTATAAATCCTGCACGTTTCCATACAAATTCTTCACTCTTTCAATTTCTTGTCATAGAAATTCTTTCACTTTTTCAATCAAATTTAGCATTTTTTCATATAGTTTTTTATTGTCTTGAAAAAAACCTTCACATGTTCCATACAAATTCTTCACTTTTTCAGATTTCTTCCATATAAATTCTTTCATGTTTCCAGACAACTAGATAGGAAACAAATCACAAGGTGTTTGGTGATAAAAATTAAAAAATGGCAGGGTCCCCAAATTGACCGATTTCTTATTACTTTGTATACTAAAAAGTACATTTTTCGCCGCCGCATAGAGATGTACAAAGGCTTCGAGAGCAAAGGCCACATGGGGAGAGAAGAATCAACATGAAATGGGGAAATATTCTAAGTACATGTTCGGCAAATTTGCCTGTGCAATCTAAAAAATCAAATTCTATGTACGCGGAGAAGCTTATATTTCTATAATGATCTATTGGCATAACTGCATTTATACGAACACAAAGTTATCAATCAGTTGTGGAGACCCCCACACTTACAACATCCCAGGACATTACAACATATATATATATATATTGAAAATGATCTATTGACAAAACTATATTTATATGAACACAAAGTTATCAATCAGCTGTGGAGACCCCCACACTTAGAACATCCCAAGACATTACAACATATACATATATATATATATATTTAAAATGATCTATTGACATAACTATATTTATATGAACACAAAGTCATCAACCAGCTGTGGAGACCCCCACACTTAGAACATCCCAAGACATTACAACATACATATATATATATATTCTATTGACATACCTACATTTATACGATTACACAGTTATCAATCAGCTGTGGAGACCCCCACACTTAGAACATCCCAAGACATTACAACATGTAATTATGTTATATATATAAGGTCCTCCACCCACACAGAATATGGAATTGAAATTTTGGCTTCCCCGGGCATCCCAGGAATTGAACTTGAAAAACGATACTTAGAATATTTTAGAATACAGTTGACGTCAAAAAACCTATACTTAGAATACCGTTGGACCATATAAATCCTTTCGCTTGTCCAGGCGAATTCGTCATTTTTCCATGGAAATTCTTCACTTTTTTTTTATAAATCCTTCATGTTTCCACACAAATTCTTCACTCTTCCAATTTCTTGTCATAGAAATTCTTTCACTTTTTCAATCAAATTTAGCATTTTTCCATATAGTTTTTCATTTTTTCTTGAAAAAATCCTTCACATGTTCCATACAAATTCTTCACTTTTCCATATGTTTTCCATGTAAATTCTTTCATGCTTCCAGACAGATAGATAGGTAAAAATTTCACAAGGTGTTTGGTGATAAAAAAAAACTGGCAGGGTCCCCAAATTGACCGATTTCTTATTACTTTGTGTACTAAAAAGTACATTTTTCGCCGCCGCATAGAGATGTACAAAGGCTTCGAGAGCAAAGGCAACATGGGCAGAGAAAAATCAACATGAAATGTGAACATATTCTAAGTACATTTTCGGCAACTGTGCCCGTGCAATCTAAAAAATCATATTCTATGTAAGCGGAGAAGCTTATATTTCTATAGTGATCTTTTGACATAACTACATTTATACGAGCACAAAGTTATCAATCAGCTGTGGAGACCTTCACACTTAGAACATCCCAAGACATTACAACATATATTTATATGTATATATATATATATATTGAAAATGATCTATTGACATAACTATATTTATATGAACACAAAGTTATCAATCAGCTGTGGGGACCCCCACACTTAGAGCATCCCAAGACATTACAACATATACATATATATATATATATTTAAAATGATCTATTGACAGAAATATATTTATATGAACACACAGTTATCAATCAGCTGCTGAGACCCCCACACTTAGAACATCCCAGGACATTAGATACAACATATTGATCTCTGTCATGATCTATTAACATAACTATATTTACATGAACACAAAGTTATCAATCAGCTGTGGAGACCCCAACACTTAGAACATCCCAAGACACTACAACACACACATGTATATATATATATATGAACCTTGAATGATCTATTGACATAACCATATATATATATATATTTGAACACAACGTTATCAATCAGCTGTGGGGACCCCCACACTTAGAACATCCGAAGACATTAGATACAACATATATATATATCATGATCTATTGACATAACTATATTTATATGAACACAAAGTTATCAATCAGCTGTGGAGACCCTCACACTTAGAACATCCCAAGACATTACAACATATATTTAATTGTATATATATAATTATAATGATCTAATGACATAACTAAATTGATATGAACACAAAGTGACCAATCAGCTGTGAATACTACCACACTTAGAACATCCCGAGACATTGCAACAAACACACACACA